ATATATATTCCTTTTAGGTTTGCTGTGGATCGAAGAATACACAGGTTTTGTTAAGATATAAAGAAGTTTGTTAGTAATGATGGAAAGTGGCTAGGAGGAGGGGAAGTCTCGGACGCATATTTCATCCCATTCGGGGCTCCTCAACTGGACATAACTGCCTCCTAGACCCGCTTTGTAGTTACTTCCTAAAGTTTCAACTTGAGGAAGCTGTATACGAAGCGATTAATTTTAGAATTTGTGTTATTGGTTCTTGAAAACCAGGAACTACACGTCAACCCTAGTTATATACGACAGTGAGTTTCTTTGTGACACCACTGGATGCCAACGAATATACCGTCAAGTTGACTTAGAAAAAACTGCAGTTAACGAGACCAAGTTACATAAGATCATTACCACTGATCTCTGAAGCACAAAAACCTTGTAGATCATCAGGATTTAGCTTCCTGATTCCCATGGTTCATGTTGTTGAAATGATTCCAAGAGATTGAGTATGGCTTACCTTGTGAAAGTGATCAATATTCGGTCTGCAATGCCGGTTATTTTACCCCTAGCTTTAGCTGTATATCAATCAGTAACCCGAAGAGAGCCAACACTGTGAATCGTCGACATTATGAGTTCATGAGCCAGGTATCTTAGAGGCATTCTTCATCAAAACATATTCGTCCACGAGGAGATGAGTACTGTGAAACGAGCTGAGTACGCCACATATGTGGATGTGTTGAAATTTAACAGTTTGGAAGGGGTTCTATGATAATATTGATCAGTTTGAGAGCGTGTTAACAGAATACTTTGGTAGAAGTGTTCGTTTACTTGTCTATTTCCTTCTGGATGACAGGGGACCAATCAACCAGGTTGAATATCCGTCTAGAACTTAAAATTGAACCGAAAACTATGTTGATGACATCATAGTGATTTGTGAGAGGCCTAAAAATATGGCATGTCTACTAAATAGACTTAACGCCGTACAAACACACATCAGCCTGACATTCTTAGATATACTCCTCAGTCGACGAGAAGATGGTTCAATAAGACTGTCAGTCTACAGAAAGCTTGTATCGACAGGATATCATCTAAATTTTCAGTTTTTGCCCAATCCAGTACAAGCGAGGTCTAGTAAAATGCCTGATTAATAGGATTTATTGTATCAGTACACCAGATACGATGGATGAAGACATCAAATTACTGGCCAAAGCACTTATGGAAAATGGATGTCCGACGAAGTTTATAAACCGTTGTAGAGGTCAAGTAGCACCAAAGCCAACTCTATACACGGTCCTTAAGAAAAGAATCCATATCACTCTACCATACAGAGGGCAGTTGAATAGTATCATTTTGAGACATTGGCTAACAACATCCACTAAGAAAGCATATTACGCGGTGAATCTTACCATTGTGAAGAAACAAAAACACATGCTTCACCAAAAACCTAAACACTACATCAGTGATTACGTCACATCCCATTGTGTTTACCAATTTACATGTGTGTGTGGTCACATATACATATGGAGGAGTAATCAAGTCATGTAGTTGAGGGTGGGAGAACATGTACCTAAATGACTTCAAAAACAGATGGAGCATGAAACAGTGATAAACGCTGGTGGGAGACGACCCTCTTCATCTATAGCTAAACATATCATAGAAACAGGCCACAAAATTAATGTTCAAACAGCTTTCAAAGTTTTATATCGAAATAATCAGGGGCGTATTCTGAGATTTGCGGAAGCCATAGCCATACAGATTGAAGTGAAGACAGGATTTAAACAAGGCTGTCTACGATCACCCATGATATTAATGATTGTGGTGGACTGATTCATGCAACAAACAGTGAGGAGCGAGAAGAAGGGGATACGCTGTATGAGCCGGGGAAAAGATCCTAGAAGATTTGAATTTTGCCGATGACGTGTCTAATGTCGCACAAACTTGAAGACTCACAGGCGAAACTGACAAGTTGGCAGAAGAGGCAGCGAAGACAGGAGTTCAAGTGAATATGGAGAAGACTGAGGTGATGATGATACCCAACCAACAGAAACACCACCAACAACAACAAGCTCCAATCACCATGAACTGGAGAAACTTGAAGGGAGTAGCCTCTTTCACCTATCTAGGCAGCACTGTTTCAACTACAGGCGACACAGGCACAGGCATCAAAGTCAGGATCGGAAAAGCAAGACAGGCTTTCCTGCATTTATCTGAAATCAGTGTGGAGATGTTCTGCACTCAGTATAAAGCGTGAACAACATCCGGATTTTCAACACCAACGTCAAGTCAATGCTTCTGTATGGCTCAGAGACTTGACGCGTCACGAAAAGCATTTCCAATAAAGTACATATATTCATCAACAACTGCCTACGCTGGCTCGTTACTGAAGATCAGATGGATGGCCATAAAGAATCAGCAGTAAGGAACTCTGGCTAGTGACGAACCAACGAAGCAAGAACCTATCGCTGAACAAATATGCAGTGGAAGGAAGTGGAGATGGATTGGGCATACACTGAGAAGTCCATTCGGGGACATCACGCGTCAGGCCGCGGAGTGGAACTCAGATGGGAAGCGATGAGTTAGGCGTCGGAGGCGAGGGTGACATGGAGGAGATCATGTGAGGAAGAAATGAGAGCTTGTGGGCTGTCGTGGAGCCAGGTTGAAAAGTTTGCAGAGGATAGAGTGTAATGGAGACGTGCTACTGAAGCCGTTTGTTTCATTAGGAACCCAAGGGACAAATAATAATAATAATAATAGCCATACAGAAATTTAAATCACCTTTATATGTACAAGAATAGTTTATTGTTACACTACACGTACGTTGCTTGGTGAACTTCGTTTTCTTACCAAGATTAAGATCAATTAGTTCACCTCCTGTTAGTTCTCATCTTTCTTAACTCTAATCCCCCTATTGTGTTTATCGTTGTATTTGTCCCCCCCCCCCCCCGCATCCCCTATTCCTCGATGTAATATATATTGACTTGAGACAAGTAAATGTGTGAGGCATCAGATTGATCGAAATCTTGTTACTGTGCAAATACACCACCCACATTGTTGAGATAAACTTCGTCTTGTAATTACGCTATTGAAAATATATCCAACTTGGTAGTGTGTATAATTTTTCACTGTCTTGTTGCATTCATATTCGTTAGTGTTGTTCAGTTGTGTAAAAATGACAAAAGTTTGTGTTCCTATATGTGTTGGGTGTAGGGTGGGGTAGGGAGGGAGGCGGGTGCGCGGGTGGCAGCAGCACATATCTTTACTCGGTACTTGTATATTGCTCTATCTGTATTACTTTAAGATACTTGAAACGGGGTGGATAACTTTTATCTGATACCGCCTGTCTGATAACTTTATGATGTTTGAAATGTCAAAAGTTTCTTTTCAAGTTAGAAATAAGAAAGCCGGTGACATTAATGATAAGAACTACAAGGCAGCAAGAAAAAGAAACATGATTTATTCCAAACTAGTTGTTAAGAGTTTTTTTTATTAGCAATATAATTGGATTTGTGTATGTACTGATGGAATTTTTGTTTGCTTAAGATACAGACAGTAATCTATGGAGCTAACGAGTATTGATCCAGACCGATAGCTGATACTTCGGCATAGTGGTGAGGCTTGTATATCACATTGGACGGGAAAGTTTGTTTCCTTGAGGTCCTACTATACCAGAAAGGTCTGTTAGCGAATGGTTAGACAAAAGTAGGTATCATTATTGTGTGAATTGCTAGGCTATAAGGGAGGTTTGCGGGCAAAGTCTCACTGCTAGATGGATGGAAGTATGAAAGCATTTCCCCATTGAAAAGATGTGAGGGGGGAGGACAGTTGGTGCTGGTGTGAACTTTCATCGACTTTGTCTCACAATGTTGGACGAAGTAGATTTACGCTGGAGAAAAGCTCAAGGTAGCCAGACTAAAACCTGGCATCAATGCATGAAGTCAATGACTGTTGGTTTGGGTCATGTATGGCGATGCAGACCAGGTGGTTGGGTCCGCGAGACAAGAGAAACCAGTGATGATGGCTTTCAGTGTGCCTAGATTGCTTTATGTTATTGAGATCATGCAACAAACAGTAAAGAGCGAGGAGAGGGGGATACGCTGACTGGACCTGGGAAAAGATCCTAGAAGATTTGAATTTTGCCGATGACTTATGTCTAATGTCGCACAAACTTGAAGACCTACAGGCGAAAACTGACAAGTTGACAGAAGAGGCAGGGCAGCCAGGGAAGATGGGACTTCAAGTGAATGTAGGGACGACAGAAGTGTTGAAGATACCTAACCAACAGAAACACCACCAACAACAACCAGCTCCAATCACCATGAACGGGAGAAACTTGAAGGGAGTAGCCTCTTTCACCTATCTAGGCAGCACTGTTTCAACTACAGGCGGCACAGGCACGGATGAGGACGTCAAAGCTAGCCAGGATCGGAAAAGCAAGACAGGCGGATTTTCAACACCAATGTCAGGTCAGTGCTTCTACATGGTTCAGAGGCTTGGCGCGTTACAAAAAACATTTCCAATAAAGTACATATATTCATCAACAACTGCCTACGTTGGCTCGTTACTGGAGCTCAGATGGCCAGAATAATAAGAATAAGCAACAAGGAACTGTGGCTGGCTGGCTGGCAACGAACCAAGCAAGAACCTACCGCCTAACAAACATGCAGAAGAAGAGAGTGGAGATGGGTTGGATTGAGCATGCACTGAGAAGACGATTCAGGGACATCACGCATCAGGCCAGGCACTCAAGTGGAACCCACATGGGAAAGGACAAGTTGGGCGTCCGAGGTGAGGGTGACATGAAGGAGATGGAGTGAGGAATAAATGAGAGCTTGTTGGCAGTTGTGGAGCCAGGTTAAAAAGATTTCAGAGAACAGAGTGAAATGAAGAGACTTACTACCGAATTCGTATGTTCCACTAGGAACCCAAGGGACAAGTAAGTAAGTAAGTTATTGAGATAGTTTTGAGCCCATCTTTCCCCATCTCATTTCTCATTTATTCTGTATTCTTTTTATACGCAGGAATGTGTAAAATATTTAAATCAAATTGTTATCGAACTATCGAAACTGCATTCTCCATCAAATGAGGCTTCTGTGACAAGTGGAACTTCATACCCTTCAGAATGTGACAACAACGACAGTAATAATAATAATAATAATAATAATAATGGTACTGGTGGGATTTTGGAGTTTTTCAACCAGTCACTTCATACATTAAGGCAAGCATTGGAGCGGATGATCCAAGTAAGTAAAGTATAATTGCATTCTATATAACACATCTATACGCTATGCATGTGTGTTTATATACGTTAAACGTTTTCCTCAAGCACTTTTATATCTACATTATTTTGATAAATATAGCTCAGTAATCGTATTCAATCCCACATACTAAATCCTGCAGGATTATCTTGTTGTGTAGAGCGGTTGATAAAATCATCTCGACGTTATAACACAAGTTACTGATGTGATGTGACTGAGTGAATAGTAAATAATACACGAACAATACCAACACAGTAAAATACTTGGAGTGGATACGAATACCGTCTGTTGTTCTTCATTACCTTATACTTCACTGAGTCATGATAATATCAGAAGACGAAGACCGACTTGTGACAGTAAGGAGAAAATATTTTATTCAACAAAAATATGCTATTAATATACAACTGTTTTCATGAAAATATAAAATCATTAGATGAAAAGTAAAATGGCTTATCCTGACTGGTCAGTTGTAGGGTAAAATTGTCCAATCAGCTTCTTCCTGACCACACAGCGATATGAAACAAAAATAACAACACAAATGGTTCTACATTATTGGTCCGGCCTGTTTTACTGTATGGCTGTGAAACATAGCCATTGAAAGTGGGAAGATATGAGAAGGCTTCAGGTGCTTGACCATCGTTGCCTTCATAGTATAGGCTAGGCCGTATTCCGAGAAGAGGGCGATACTCTGGAGTGGGGAAAAGATCCTAGAAGATTTGGATTTCGCCGGTGACTTGTATCTAATGTCTTGTAGCACAAACTTGAAGATCTACAGGCGAAAACTAACAAGTTGACAGAAGAGGCAAGGCAGCCAAGGAAGAAGGGACTTCAAGTGAGCGTACAGAGGACAGAGCTGATGGTGATACCCAACCACCACCACCAGCAAGAACAAAAAGCTCCAATCACCATAAACGGAAGAAACTTAAATGAAGTAGCCTCTTTCATCTATCTAGGGAGCATCGTTCTAACTACAGGCGGCGGCACAGACGAGGACGTCAAAGCCAGCCAGGATCGGAAAAGCAAGACAGGTGTTCATTAACCTGAAACCAGTTTGGAGATGTTCTGCACTCAGCATAAAGCGTGAACAACATCCCGATTTCCTACACGAATCCAGTCAAGTCAGTGCTTCTATATGGTTCACTCAGAGAGTTGGCGCGTTACGAAAAGCATTTCCAACAAACTGCAGACATTCATCAACAACTGCCTACGTTGGCTCGTAACTGAAGCTGAGATAGCCAGAATAATAAGAATAAGCAACAAGGAACTGTGGCTGGCTGGCTGGCAACGAACCAAAGAAACAAGCAAATATGCAGAAGGAAGTTGAGATGAATTGGTTAAGGCTTACACTGAGAAGACCGATTGGGGACATCACGCGCCAGGCCAGGCCATCTAGTGGAATCTAAAGGGGAAACGGCCAGTTGGGCTTCTGAAGCGAGGTTGACATGGAGGAGATGGTATGAGGAAGAAATGAGAGCTTGTAGGGAGTCGTGGCGCTAGATTAAAAAGATTAAAGAGAACAGATTGGAATGCAGACGTGCTACTGAGGTCGTATGTTCCACTAGGAACCCAAGGGATACATAATAGAATAATAATGATAATACACTATAAAAGTTTGGCAGAAAACCATCGAAAATGTTTTCATTTCAATATTCTACATTTGATATTCCAGAGATCTCTGGTTTAAATCGTGTGACAACTTGTCATTTCAACAGATATTTTCACTTCAATTAAGAAGTAGTAATGTCAATCTCTGGTCATTCATAATAGTGGAGTATTTATTTGTTATTATGTGATGACGTTTGAGGATGTTTGACTATAGACATATCTTATCTATGAAATGTAAGAATAATGCTCCTGGATTGGTCTACTTCAAGGATAAGCTGTGAAGTAGTAGGATGTGCTGATCACTTCACTTAGTTCAAGAGTTACCTCAGCCTAAACGGGCCAGGCGCTAACAAAATCTCAACTCGGATACAGAAGGCTCGTTTGCAATTGGTCAGTTTGCATCATCTCTGGTGCAAACTAGCAATATATCCGACTATCTATTCAAGGACGAGTGTACTATGCTGCAGTTCTTTTTGTTCTTAAAGACGACTATGATATATAGCCGATAAAAGTGGAATACACGGGGGGATTAAAGTGTTTTGTTCCCATTTTTTGGGATCATTGTGTAAACAATGTTGAAGTCAGGCGAAGGATACTAGGCAAAACAGGCCGGCAAGTCGATTGTCAAGCTTGTAAACCTTGAGCAACTGAGATGGCTTGAAGAGAAGACCAGACCAAGATATGTTCTCTGTGTACTAAGATGTAAGGTATGGCAAGTTGTAGTGATGCACTTCTATGTGACATTCAACGTTGGTCCTATCTCTCCTGTGTTTCAGTCTTTTAAAAAAATTTCATGTAGCTGGGGCATTAGCGGTCTCTAGATTGCATGACTACTTAAGTGCTCTACTGGCTGGACTACAGGATTTTTTACAGGTGCTGATGTGATTCATATGAGTACTCAAACGCTTCAGTCGGTAATTCAAGTAAATTTAAATGATTATCAGTTGCATTAATGGGTATTCTTCAGACTGTTCGTTCATATCTAGCCACAAGTTTGAACTTTAGCTCCAGTGTTTTGCATACTACTTATATAAGTTGTCAGTAGCTTAAAGAATAATTTCTAAATTATCGTTTCGTCAGCCATACACTTATGTAGGATATCTACATCTATTTCACTATAAACCTTTTTATCTCTAAATATTCACCTATTTTCTTAGATTTTATGAAGTGATAGTTGAATAAGGTGGCCTACGTTCTATTTGACCGGCAAATTGACGATCGTATTTCAATGTACAAAAATATTTCGAGAACGATACTTTAAATCTAATTGAAATTCACTCAGCGACTACCTAGCCTCATATGCATTAGACAATCAGCCACACCTATTATGAGAAGGTCAGACATATCTCTGTAGATGGAGTGAGGTTTGAACCTGTGACCTCATTAGTTAGTAGTCGAGCACCACGGAACCACGATCACCAGCTGGTAATTAACACTTTTAAGGTTACTGAAGAATATCTACGTTTCTAAACAATGAAGTGTTAGATAACTGAGAAATGAAACTGGTGCGATCGATGGTGTCTATTCGATAACTGGACGTGATGGGATCTACATGATGATTATTGGTAGTGAATGATGACTGGAGGTGAAATGAAAATTTGAACCGTGGTTGGATTCAAACCAACGACTACCGGGTTTCCCACCCGATGCTCTATCGACTGAGCTACGAGGTCCGACTGGTGACCACAATTTTATTTCACTTCAATCACAAAGGGTTTCACTCGAACACCATGTGAACTCGTGACGTGTTACTAGGAGGTTCTCTACTCGAACACCTGCGGGTGTGTTACAGCTTATGGTGAGATGTCTGGTGAGCTGTACTCATCAAGTGGTGTCCACAAGGGTGCCCACTGTCTCCATTCTTATTCAGTTTCATCACAAATATTCCTATAAAGGTCTTCCCCTCATCATCAGGTTACACAGACGTTGACCTAATCACAGGAGAATCCTCGTTGGACCTAGAATATGCAGACAACATTGTCATGTTAGGTGAAGACGCTGACAAGATGCAGAGTCTTCTGAACACTGAGTGTCAATTCGAGAATGTTTGAGATGCGGTTCTCACCACCTAAATGCAAATTGTTGCTCAAGGATTGGTCTTCAACGATGCATCACCGCGGCTAACAATAGAGAGTGAAGTGGTTGAGTGTGTTGACCACTTCACTTACCTGGGAAGTAGGGTCAACCCTGGTGGGTCAGTGACCAATGAAATCTCCACACGGATACACAATGCTCGATTGGCTTTTGCCAATTTACACCACCTATGGCGCCACCGTGATATCCGTTTGTCTATTAAGGGTGGCGTGTACTGCACATCAGTCCGGTGTGTTGTACTGTATGGCTGTGAAACATGGCCACTGAAGATGGAAGACATGAGAAGGCTGGTTTCAAGTGTTTGACCACCGTTGACCTCGTAGTATAGGCTAGGCCATATTCCGTGGTGTCACCACGTGAGTAATGCAGGAGTCAGAAGTAGAGTTTTAGGGAGTAGAGGTAAATCAGTTGACACAGTTGTGAACCTTCATCAACTGAGATGGTTGGGACATGTGTTACGTATGCCTAGTGGCAGAGTGCCTCGTCATACAATGTTGGTCGAAGTAGGTCCAGGCTGGAATAAATCCCGAGGTGACCAGAATAAAACATGGCACCAACGTATGAAGTCTCTGACTGTTGGTTTGAGTCATGTAGAGTGGGGGCGATGCAGACTAGGTGGTTGGAGTCGATGGGGAGACAAGAGGAACCACTAGTGGTTGGAGACTGACTGTAGGTGATATTGGTGAGAACCGATGTCAGTGGTGCAGATGTATACCCATACACATTATCATCTTCTTAACGACGTTATAACGAATCTTGCCATATAATGATTCTTCCTTTGTCTCTCTCTTTGAGTACTTTATATTTCTTTTGACTGCATTCTCTTATCTTCATCTTTCACTTCACTGCCTTTTTACTTGATGTAGTGATATGAGGTGTGGCGGCAATTCGGAGGGTTACGCAGTAATGCCTGGTCCTAGGTTGATCTGGATGTATGTATGTGTTACTATCGCTTGTTCGTTCTCACACACTGGCTGTTGAGTTAGGAATTCTTATCCAAATCCGAATGTAACTGAATTAGAGAGGGGGAGTACCATCTGGTTATCAACTCGTTGCTCTACCAGCAACTGAGCTACGAATCTCGACTGCTGATGGATGGTTCCTGATTCAAATAGCAACGTGGTTCAAGTTTTAATTTCACCTTCAACAAGTCTCTGATAGTTACGCGTTGGAAAGAACACCATAGATCATGTAAATCAACTATGTTTTTTGCAGTTCGGTTAATTTTCAAACTTTTCACCATTTCAATGTCTTCACTGATTAAATGAGATAATAATTTTTATATACATAAACAGGTAGCAGATCATATCAATGAACGTAAACGTTATCGTGAATTGTTAGATCAACTACGTATTACTCGATTAGATGTTGATAGTTGGGGTGATCTAGTCCTACGTGATCATTTTCGTATTCCAGGTAAAAAAGATTTACGTTTAGTTTTATTATTTGAATGTGCATTAATTTTATGCAAATATACATCATCAAATACACAGACGATGTCAACAACACCATCAACAACAACAGTAACAACAGGAAGACATGATAGTCTAGATCGAGGAACAGGGATTTGTAGTCTGAAGAATTTGAATGTTAGATCAATTGAAATCCGTGAAGTTATAAATGTAAGTCCACTGTTCACTGTTTACATATGTTGTTAGTGTGTTATATCTTTGCTAAGAAGTAATTGTCTGAATAAATCTCTTCTAATGGTGAATTTCTTTTCGATCCTGCCAACCTTCATCTGCATATCTTGTTCACAATGAGGTATACTTGATAATAATGAAATAAGCAATTTCATGCACAAACTATGAGATAATATAGAGAATAACTGGAATTTCACTTAACAGGCAATTATTTACCAACCTATACATCATAAAGAAACACATGAGGGGTCAATGCAAAGTTCTTGAAGTGAGGTGTAGAAGTATGCTACCAAATAAGTTTTAGAAGAAGACTGATTGATGATATTGTGAAACATTATTGACTGAGATGGCTTAGACATGTACTACGCATGCTGACATTTGTTGAATGAATGAAGAACACCGTCTAAATCAACATTCATTGTCACATATAACAAACCTGTCTCTTAATAATGGTCCCAATTTTGACCCTATTACAATTCTAGCGCGTGCGATGGGTATAGTTTTTAGTATAGGGGTTTTTATATGATACCATCGTTGATTGTACCGAATTGATCGATATCTATTAGCACAAGAAGTGGTTATCGTGGCTCGGTGGTGTAGTGGACAACGCGCTGGCGTTTGAAGCGATCGCTCCTGAGTCCGAATCCCGGTGGGAATAACATCACTCACTGGGAGCCAGCAGGTACATCCAGCTGACTGGTGAGTCCCGAATAGGAGGAAATGCTCATCTTGGATTCCACTGCTAGCCACCGCACATCATTACTGTACATAATTAAAACACAGGCAATATCGAGACATCCTCATAGGAGCCCATATGCTAATAGAGACCGATCAATTCGGTCCAATCAACGACGGTATCATATAAAAACAACTATACTAATAGCTACTATTGGTGATATTGGAGATTAATTTAACAGAAAGAAAGCAGCTATGTGTGTCAAGCCAAGATATAGTATGGTATATGAAGTCACTAACCATTTATTGGATCTCTATAACGAAGTGTATGCTACTGTCTGATGGATGAAGTTTCACAGAGGCGTTAGATAGAATACACGGCTATACAGGTCAATCAAACTGGCTCAACATCGTTAACAACTCATTATTGTCTACTTGATTACTTTTGTTACAATATCTTTCCATGAAATATACTTTCCAGTTTGTGACTGCGTGGTCTAGTGGATCAGTCTCAAGTTCATGTCTTAAAGGGGACAATATGCCTCATCGTGAGGCAGGTGTATCCGACTGACAAGTCCTAAATAGAACGAAGTGTACGTCTTAAACTCCATTACTATTTAAGATTTCTCCACTTCTGAGGGGTTTTTCTTTTTCTATGAATGTTATGAAATTGGGTAACATGTGAATTAGCACACTTGTCTGTCTGTCTGTCTTAACTAGTCAAGTGTTCTTAAGCATAAGTTGTTACTTATAATAATCTTCCTTCGATTTTCTTTTCTTTATTTTTATATATAGTGCGCCAATTTGATGTTAGTTGAATGTATCGATAAAGATCCGTTAGCATTTCATATATTACCTTTTGATAATCCTAAAGCTCAACGTACTTTACAAGCAATAAATTTACATATAAAATATTTATGGTGTCATGAAATAAAACGCTTAATCTTAGAAAATTATGATGCTGCTATCCCTGAAAAAGCAAAACAAATTGTTCTTAATATGGTTGATTTAACTTATACTTCATCATTTGAAAATAATTTCGAATATAATAGATCACATCAACAACATTCAAATAATCGAATTCATCGTAAAAGTGATACAGCTATTCCACGTTAGTGATATAATTTTTAATTATTTGATTAAGTTAATTTTTTTAATGATTGTTTATGTTTTCCTGCTGACTATCTATGAGGAGATGTGTAATACTTCTTTTTACAATGATATATTATAGAAGATGAAGAAATCTTTTCGTATCATGCATAGGTTGAACTTTGATGGTTAGAGACAATTTATAGTAAATTTAGGACCTTCATCAACACGATGAGTATCCACAACCTCGATGAAATTGTAGTCTTGCCTGAGATTCCGTCTCATATCACTGAATGTTGTTGTAGTCAGTGAGCGGTATTTGGACGACTGTTGACTTTTTGTAGGACAAGATTATACACATTGACTGATTACTGGAGAGTAAGTAATCATTTTCATGTTGTACAGTTGTGAATACTAACCTAATCCTATCTATCATTTTGCTATGTGACCATCAAGCTGGGAAACTTTTCATTGGAGTGGCTCCAGGACTACCCAGATGCTTTTATTTCCTCCTTCTACGATCTCCTCCATATCACCCTCGAACGCTCAACTTGTAGTTTCTCCTTTGAATTCTAATCGATGACCTGGGCTGGCGTGTGACGTTCTCAAATGGTCTTCTCAGTATATGCCTAATCCAATTCAATCCATCTCCACTTTCTTCTGCATATTCGTTGGGCAATAGATATTTGATGGGTTCGTTGCCAGGCAGGGTTCCTTGTTACTTATTCTTATTCTTTCTGGTCATCTGATCTGATGTTCAGTATCGAATGAGCTTAGGCGGCAGCCATTGATGTGTGTTTGTAGTTTGTTGGAAATGCTTGTCATAACACACCAACTCTCTAAACCATCACACAGAAGCACTGACTTGGCTGAATTAACCTTGAAAATGTTGTTCACCCTTTATGCTGAGTAGAATGCAGTGCAGTAGATCTCCACATTGATTTTGCTTTTCCGACCCTGGCTACCTTCACATCCTCATATATGCCTGTGCCGCCTGTAGTTGAAACGATACTACCTAGAAAGGTAGGTGAAACAGACCATTTCCCTCAGATTTCTTCCATTGATGGTGATTGATGCTTGTTGTTGTTGTTGTTGGCGGCGGTGGTGGTTGGGTATTTTCACCACCTATGTCTTCTTTACGTTCAGCTGAAGAAAGTCTCATCTTCCTTGGCTGCCTTGCCTCTTCTGTAAACCTGTTAGTTTTCGCCTGCAGATCTTCGAGTTTGTGCGACATAACACACTGGACATAAATCATCATTGGAGAAATGTAAATCTTCTTCTGGGGTCTTTCCATCAGTGAAACAGCGTATGCCCATCTTCTCACACCTTTTCACAGTTGTCTGTTGCATGATCCAGTCCAGTGTAGTCGAGTCGAGTCGAGTTGAGTCGACCACCATCAGGAAGATGATAGTAGGCGATAACCTTGTCTAACTCCTTCCTGTCTTCACTTCACTTCGAAGACATCACTAAGCTGAGCTTTGCATTGTCAATCACTTGGCATGCAGCATTTTCATCACCATGATATACGATATGGCTGCTATTGAATGAGGTTGATTAAAGTTTGTGGCGTTGAAACGGAAGCTGCCAAATTACTTCTCGGCTGACGCCTCGATTGAAGGCCTTTTCAGAATCGGTGAAGTTTAGGTAAAGATCCACTTGACTACCATTCTATGCTGTGTTCTATGATAATGCGTCCCGTAGCGTGGCAACCTGGTCGGCACATGATTTGTCTTTCCTGAAGCCAACTAGCCTGTTTCGGTTGTAATTTTGAATGAAGAGTATTGTTTCGTCTCTCCAGGATGACGCGGCTAAATATTCTACTTGGGGTAGACAGAAGCATGATTCCCCGCCAGTTCTTGCAAAAACTTAGCTGAGGTCTCCCTTCTTTGAGAGTTTGACAAGGTAGCCCTTCTTCCAGTCGGCAGGTACCTTTCCTTCCCTCCAAACCTTCTCCAGTAGTGGTGTGAGCATATCCGCTGTTATCTCTGCGTCTGTTTTCAGTGGCTTCGAGTCACTTTATGACGTTCCGGACTTCCCTTCTGCTTTTCTCGGAGGGCTTGTGTTCACTCGTATTTCTGTGGCTGGGCTGCTGGCTGTATTTGTGGACAAGTTGCAGGTGGTGTTGGTGGTGGTCGATTCAAGAGCTTTTTGAAGTTGTCTGCCCATTGTTTCCTTTGTTTCTCCTCTTTGCTAAGTAGTTTTCCTTCACTATCTCTCACTGGCTTCATCTGCGTTGCTCTCTTCCCTCCCAGATAGTAACCTGATTATTTGATATAGTGTTGTCAGGTCTCTCCTACCAGCCGGCAGCCTGTTCTGCTTCGGCTGCAAGTGTGTCGTAGAAGTGTCTTTTGTCTTTGCGCGCACTCTTCTTTACTTCTTTGTCCAATGCAGTGTCTTATAGTTTGTGTTCAGTTCCTCTTTTCGTTGTTCATCCCTGCACTGCACTGCACTGGTTCATCTTCTGCTTCACCATCTTCCTCTCCTCTCCTCTATTAGGTTCCATGTGTCAATCGAGATCCATCCCTTGTCTTGTCTTGCTTCTTCTTCCTTCCTGACACGGTGATGCAGGTTTCTTTCCAGATAGCTTTCAAAGGGTTCCAGTGCTCTCCACGCCCGATCCTTCAGGGATGTTGCTCAATGTCTCCCATTTTGTCTTGATGGCTGACGTGAAGATGTCCCTTTTAGTTTCGTCCTTCAGTTCAGTTTCTGTTGTGAGTGTTGAACTTGAACTGTGGTTATCCATCACCAATTTGTTTGAAGACTTTCAACTTGATTTTGAAGGTAGGTAGGTTGCTTGCAGTAGATAGTGTTGTGAGTGGTGTGAACCTACAACTGGTCCCCTTCTTGATCTGATGTTGTGTGGGGTAGGCTGGCTGTGTCTCCACTTTCTTCACATTGAGATGAATTCGATCTGATTTTTAGTGTGTCCATCTGGTGTCTCATGAAATCCATGTCTCTCGCTTTGTGAATATTCTTGTGTTTGTACAGACTGCCTTTAATGACCGAATGGTTGAATGCTCAGAATTGTGCAAACATTTCTCCATTGTCACTCATCATTTCAGCGAGTGCTTCTGGACCCATGATAGACGAGTTGTCTTTCTGTGTTGTCCGCTTGGAGTTTGGCATTGATGTTGGCCATTAGAATTTTGATGTCGCCATGTGGAGTGCGGTGTTGTCCATTACTGATTGGAGTTGTCTTGATTATTTGTAGATGCATTGCGTAGCGTAGCGTAGCATTGTATGATTGTGAGTTTTCTTCCTTTTGAGTAGAATCTTGCTGTCATGATGGTGATTTTGGAGGAGATTGGTTCGCAGTGCATGAGAGAGAGTCTTCGATGCTCCTGAAAGGGACACCATGATAGCCACTGGTAAACTCAGTGTGCTGGTGGTTGTCGTGTGGGTGACAATATTGGAGCAGATTATTGACTCTTCAGTTGATAGTTTGTAGAGTCCACTTCCATTCCATCTGCAGATTGCTCGCAGATTCCTAGCCCAGCACTTCTATGCTGTACCTTCTCATCTCTTTTGCAATCTGAGCAGCCTTGGTAGGTTCATATATGATGTGGACATTCTATGTCCCCATGTTTGCTCTCGCTTTCATCAAGAGGAGACTCATCGACCGACTGGCTTCCCGAAGATTTTCACTAACCGGCGTTATTTTATCTCCCCGATTCCAAGGAGGAATAAGTTTATTTTAATTTTTCATATTTTCTTTGTGCTTTGAAGTTTCTTCAGCAGTTAGATTGGTTTTCCGGGGTAGGATTGCTATCCTTTTGCCTAACCTTCCCTCTTTATGCGGTCTCGTAACTGGCTAGTGAACTAGTAAACTCGTCGAAATTACAAGCTAACTAACCCGCTGGTTTTTTCAACGTTCACATATATCTCAAGCACATTAGGAGAAAAAGTAATGAAGAAAGCCATAGTGGTCAAGCTACAATATAGAAATATAATGAATAGTCAGTTGAAGTCTTAGACAAACAAGTTGAAGAGTTAGTTTTCACTTAATTCTTCTGCTTGATGAAGGCAAGCAGTTACTTAATCGTTTTATCGATCTATTCCATTCTGGTATATCATGTATGCTGAACTTGGCCAGAGGTTGCTGTGTGTGTGTGAGAGAGAGAGAGAGAGAGGGAGGGAGAGGGAGAGAGAGGTGTTAAATGCTAACTTATTTATTTTTATTGATTATTTCTAGGTCTACGACGTTTTATCAATCGACCAGTTATTAATCGTCCAGTTTATTCTACTCTATTACAAACATCTAATCCATCTATTATAGATGATAATGTTATAGAATGTAGAGTATTTCCAATAACAAATGGGAATCAAAATTCGCTTAACAACAATAATAATTCCTTACTGAATGATACTAATTATAATGATGTTTCAACTGACCAACATCTTGATTCATTATTACATGAAGCATGGGAAGAAATATGGGCAAAACATTATTCTCCAATTAAATGTATAGAATTTCTAAATAATCAATTCGACTGTAATCATTATAACACAATAAATAAAGAAGATACAGGTGATAATCATGTGTTTGATATACCGATAACTATACCGAATGATACAGATTTTCGATGTATTGCTGTAGAAATTAATGAAGAACGATTTAGTCAACCATCAATTGATTCAATGTGTACAATTGAAGAGATTAAAAACTCTTCTATACCTTCTATATCAAAATTAAATAAAAATTTTTCAAATAATTCTATAAATCATTTAGGTAAGTCACAATGAATTTATCTAATCTTTACTTCTTTGTTGAGATTTCAAGATATTTTAAGATGATATTCATCGTAGATTGACATCAATTGAAAGAAACAATAGAAATCTCGGAGGACTACACAACTGTTTTGTCCTAGAATAGGACTCCTCAGCAGTATTGGGTAACGGTCGCGCTATATTATGAACAACTGATAGAAGTTGGAAATATCAATGATTGAGCGCTAACCTAATGGCTCTGTAACAATCTGCTGGCTATGAAACTTGAAGGTTACGGGTTCGATTCTTAGCTGGGTCATGGGTACGCATGGCTGAAGAGTCTGATACTAAAACGAAACAGCTGTAAAGTGCTCTCAGATTTTCATTGTTTTTTCAATTGATATCAGTCTACGTTGAATGCCAACTTTTCTGAATAGTCAGGGATTGAAGATGTTGGTGGATAGTTATTTACTGTACTGAAATGATCAGTCTCGTTTGGTATATGACTTCCTTGGGGCGGATGATTCATTATTACCTGAAGTTTAACTTTACTGTTTGATATTTGCTTGTTGATGGGTAAGAGTGGAACTAATAATGTACATTTCATCCTAGTTAGACTATACTTCAGGATTTAGTGTGTATCCCAAGACCTTTTTTGTTGAATAGGCTAGCTGGGGCACATATTGAGTCCTACAGTCATAAAGTTGGTGTTCCCCAAGGTGCTAGCCTTGCCCCTAGTGTCTTCTCTTTCTCCCTGTATGACTAACCATCTTCAACTAGTCAAATGTGTTGATAATCTGACAGTTTCAATACCTGTCTCCCCTTCATCAGATTATTCCCAACTATTGGACGATGGTCCTTCTTCAAGATGTCAGACTATAAACTTTAGTTTTTGTCCTGTTCAGAACCTATGTAAACTGCTTAACTTTCATGTTTCCTGTTCAACTGATGGTTGTGTATTAGAGAATGTTACAAGTATGATTTATCTTGGTCTGTGTTTTTTTCTTCAGACCTTTCTTGGTCCTCTGGTATCTTTCTAACTCCCAAAAGGATCTTCCACCTAACTTACTATTTTAAGAAGTTCAAAGTAAGTTCAGCCTCTTCTTCTGTGTTTTATAAACTCCTTTATCTTACCTACTCTTTTCTATTGTTCCCCTTTATTCTTTCCTGGGTTGTTGAAAAAAAGACTATGCTGTATTGCGTAGAACTTTGAAGCTTGTCAGCAGAACTATTGCTATTACCCCTTTTAGGCTTCTAATTGAAACTGTTGTGAACAAATATCTGGCAGGAGTTGTTTTGTTAGATGACCAACATCCTCTTCACTCAAAGCTCTCTACTTGTTGGTCGCTAGGTAAGACCAAGAGCAAGTATATAAGACTCTATGCACTTACTACTAGATATAGGAACTCTACAATACCATATTTAGCTCGTCTCCTATCCGAAGTAGAAAGTGTTAGAGGTGAACTAACTAATCAAGTTTTGTTCTTTGTAAAGCCAGCTAATTAAAGATTATACAGCTTACTGTTATTCAAATAATATGAATCTCATTGTTAATGTAACTGTTTACCTAAGTTAAGTGTGGATCTTCAAGAAAGGTGTAGATGGAGTAAATATTCCTATCCTTAATTTCTACTTATTCTTATTTTTAAATGTATACATATACACAGTTTCTGTCCACTTGATGCTGTATGACATGCTGAAAATTCTGTACAGTATTCCTAAAATATCTATCAGAATAAAGCAATTATTATTGTCTCCAACCTCAAGAGGACGGATGTTTCCTCTGAGATTCAAACCCACGTCACCCAGTGTTACAGTTAGCGACTTTACTATTGATCTACTCAGGTGGAGACCGACCTCCTGTAGGACTGGAATAGGTACATAAGTTGAAGGCAATCAACAGAAGACTTTAACCTAGGTTTATTACTTCCTGGCACCTGTCAGAAAGCCCTATCTCCATTGTACATTCACGGTATTTTTCCCTAGCCTATGTTCCACCAAGTAGGATAGAAATGTAGCCTATACTCTTTGTGGTTTTAGTGATCAGTAGTACTCTTAGCATTTATTCCCTGTTATCCTCAGGTTAATGAATATTCTGCAAGTGAGTTCGAGAACTACTTTTTTTTTAGTATACCTATATATAACTGACAAATGCTATCGGATAATTGATCAATTAAGTTATTTTGTATTGTCATATAAATATGCAAGAGACTGACCCCAAGTTTAGGGTTATTTGTTTGCGTTTCAATAAATTTCTCTGCGCGCAAAATGCAGTTTAGTAATCACACATGGATAATCCATACAGTTATTTATGTACCATATCTACTGTGGAGTGGACAGCGTGAGGGAGTGTGTATGGTTAATAATTCCACTTAGCTGTGCAAACCTTGATAAATAGGGACAGGATACCATATCATAATCCATTGTTTAGAAGCTGAATATCTCAGCCAATTTATCACTGTTTTTCTATACCTAATTTGAAGTTATGTATGAAGTAGAATAAGCCTTGTGTAGACCTGTGGCTAACTGGTCTAGTTAGTTGACTGTCAATCCGTGGATCATACGTTTAAACCCAGATCCACCGAGCGAGGTTCGGGTAGCCACTTAGTATCAATAGCCCTCATTGCGCCGACGAGACAAATCACAAGGTTATTGAATGCATTAAGATTTCGAGGATGGGCCTTATGATAGTGTTTCGGTAACTAGCAATGGAAAAAAGACTGTTTCCTTTTTAAGAACTTTATTTGATATGTTTCATTTCATTTTGAATAATGCTTCCATTGGGAGTTGAGTAAGACAAGGCTGCCCACTATCACCCATGATCTTCCTGATTGTGGACTGGACTGGATCATGCAACAGCCAACTGTAAGGAGGAAGATGGGCACACGCTGGCTGGACCGATGAAAAGAGCCTAGAAGATTTGGATTTCCCAATGATGATTTATGTCTAATGTCTTGTCGCACAAACTCGAAGATCTACAGGCGAAAACTAACAAGTTGACAGAAGAGGCAGGGCAGCCAGGGAAGACGGGATTTCAAGTGAATCTAGAGAAGACAGAGGTGATGAAGATACCCAACCAACAACAACAACAACAACAAGCACCAATCACCATTAACGGAAGAAACATAAAGCAAGTAGTATCTTTCACCTACCTAGACAGCATCGTTTCAACTACAGGTGGCATAGGCACAGACGAGGATATCAAAACCAGGATCGGAAAAACAAAACAGGCTTTCACTCATCTGAAATCACTGTAGAGATCTACCGCACTCAGCACAAAGAACAAGATCAGATTTTCAACAGCAATCCAGTCAAGTAAGTCAGTACTACTGTATGGTTCATTCAGAGAGTTGGTGCGTCACGTAAAGCACTTCCAACAAACTACAGATATTCATCAACAGCTGCCTCCTACACCCACTCGATATTGAAGCTCAGATGGCCAGAAAGGATAAGCAACAAGAAACTCTGGCTAGCAGCGAGCCAACCAAGAACCTATCGCTCAATAAATATGCGGAGGGAAGTGGAGATGCATTGGGCATACACTGAGAAGGCCGACTGGGGACATCATGAGCCGGGCCAGGCCGTCGATTGGAACCCGTATGGGAAACGACGAGTTGAGCGTCCGAGGGTGACATGGAGGAGATGGTGTGAGGAAGAAATGAGAGCTTCTGGGCTGTCGTGGAGCCAGGTTGAAAAGATTGCAGGGAACAGAGTGGAGTGGAGACGTGCTACTGAAACTCTATGTTCCACTAGGAAGCCAAGGGAAAATAATAATAATGGGAGTTGAGCACAGTGCTCATCACTTCAGACTTCCGAACGTTATCAGTCAGGCTATTAAGTTGTGATATCTGGTCAGCAGTTAGGTCTCGTATTTCAGTTGGTAAAGCACTGGGCCTGAAACCCCGTGGTCGCTGGTTTGGAATCATGCCGCGGTCCAAATTTTCTCTTCGCCCTCAAGCATCACCCATTATATGTAGCTCAGTGTATTACTGTTATGACTGTTGTAATACTCCGTAGACATTGTTTTCTGTAGGTGATTATTCAAGCACCATTCTAGGCTTCATTTTAAATTCAGCCTAATGAACAAATGAAGTTGATGTAACCAATAATATTTACACGGATGATTTCCATTTAGTGAATCCAGTCTAGTTGGACAATATGCAAATAGTACTAACCGGTTCTACTATTCTTCGAAGTTCATAGCTAGTACTATTATTATTAATATTTGTCCCTTGGGTTCCTAATGGAACATAGGACTTCAGTAGCACGTCTAAATTCCACTCTGTTCTCTGCAAACTTTTGAACCTGGTTCCACGACAGCCCAGAAGCTCACATGGTCTCCTCCATGTCACCCTCACCTCAGACGCCCAACTCGCCGCTTCCCATCTGGGTTCCACTCGACGGTCTGGCCTGGCGCGTGATGTCCCCAGTCGGCCTTCTCAGTGTATGCCCGATCCATCTCCACTTCCTTCTGCATATTTGCTGAGCTATAGGTTGTTGGCTGGTTCGTTGCCAGCCAGCCAGAGTTCGTTGTTGCTTATTCTTATTATTCTGGCCATCTGAGCTCCAGTAACGAGCCAACGTAGGCAGTTGTTGATGAATATCTGTAGTTCGTTGGAAATGCTTTTCGTAACCCACCAAGTCTCTGAGCCATACAGAAGCACTGACTTGACTGGATTGGTGTTGAAAATCCAGATCTTGTTCACCCTTTACGCTGAGTGCAGAAGATCCACACTGGTTTCAGGTTAATGAACGCCTGTCTTGCTTTTCCGATCCTGGCTTAGCAAGACAGGCTTCAAAGCTAGTATCCACTCTTTAAGGCATTGAATGAACCTTGCCCAGAGATATCAACATTGTTAAAATTGAAAGGTAGAACAAATAATCTCCGATGGTATTAAATGATGGTTGCGTTATATCGCAAACTGACAGAAGTAGAAAAATTTAGTCCATTGGATTCTCATACAGTGACTGAATGTTAACATGCTCACCAAGTAACCTAAAGGTGCTGCGTTTGGTTTCTGG